AAAATGGCCACACACCTGAATTTTTAAAAGCCCCCCATAAATATTATATATATATATATATATATATATTGCACTTTTTAAGGTGTGTCATAAGACAAACCATAGTTTAGGTTCAAATGTTGTTCTATTGGCATGAGATAAGTCCTCTCATAGGCTTTTCGGTGGCCCGTTATGCTGAATTAATTCCTGACATTCTAAATACCATACAATTTAAAAAAAATTGAACTTCAATTTTATAAAATTTAAAGTTCAACCATAAGATGGATTGGAGTAACAACTAGGTTTTTTAGTATCTAATGCTCCCTACTTTTTGTTTGTTGGCGTCTGGCAATAAATGTGCTAGTTTGAGACAATCCCCTTTACAGCTCTAAATAAAAATCTTAATATATATCATTGTAATCCACAAAAAATGCTAACCACTCTTTAATCAAAATTTAATGAAATATCTTTTCCTAAGATTATATTAACTAAATAGATCTGTCTGCTAAGAAATATGAGACCCCCAAAATTAAAATAAATTATGTTCTCTTAGGGCAGTGAAAAAACTTCTTGTTCACAACTTCACAGAGTTGTGAACAATGACTTTGAAGTTGAATCCATTACAGGGTAGTATTTTCATACCTTAGATATACTATTCCTTGATGTCATATTCAATTAGAAGTGAGAAAATTTAAAAATTCAATGAGTGTTCCCCACAATGCAAACATGGTTTTAGTAGGTTCAAAATCTAAACCTAAAATAGTTTCAATTTGATAAATATAAAACAAATCCAAAACCTATCATAAATACCATGTTTAGATAGAATTTTTTCTCTCATTTACTCTAAGGTTAGCAATGTATATGACTAGGGCTGAAAATGAACTGAACTGAGTCGAGTAGGGTTGTGTTCAAACTTGAGCTTATTTATAAAATTTCAGCTCGATTACAATCGAGCTTTGTGTCTATGTTCAAACTTAAATACTATTTGATTTGGTTCTTGGTCATTTCATATAATGATAATTGAGTATTATCAAGCATATTAATGAGTAAATTATCGAGCTACTTAATTTATATCCAAATAATCTTTATTTAATATGACTTATTAAACGCAATAATGAGTAGTATGGTTGAACTATTTATTTTCTAAGCAAATGGGCTTTATCGAGCTTATAAATGAATTACTTATTGAACTTACTAATACAAATGAGCTTTTACATGAATGAACTATTAAATGCATAACTAATAGAAACATATAAATACATTAAAACAATGAACTAAATAAACAACTTTTTTATCTTATTATATGTACTACAATTTAAAATTTAATTTAATTTAACTTAAATGAATCTTAAAGTAAGTTTTAATTGGACTTATTGACAAACTTAAATTAAGCGCTAACCCATTCTATTCATATGCACTAAAGCTATTTAACTTGAACTTTAAAAGAAATTGTTTATTGAGCTTCTTAATCAATTTATTCGTGGGCTTTAAATGATTATGTTGGTCAATATAAATGAATAAAAAAAAGGTGGTGGAGATATTCAAATATGTTGATTTAAAGATCTTGAATTTACAGAAGTGTTTTAATTCATTCAATTAATTAATTAAAAGAACATGAAATGCTCCTATCAAATTAAATAATGAGCAACTAGTTAAATATATCCATTTGCAGCTGTAATTGTGAGCTTTCGGACATGAATTTTTTCACCCTTTCTTTTATAGAGCGATTATTACGTGTAGAGAGGGCTGCACGCAATAATTAGACATTAGTTGTATGCATTTTACTGCTAAGCGAGTAAAACCACTTGGTGAGTGGGCCAGCACTGTTGATGCTCTTGGTGGGCCATCCAATCCCTTTCCCACCCTCGCTGGACCCACTAAGCACAAGTAACGCGTATTCCCCACCATCTAGACACTCCCGAAGCTGACAGCTTCTCCATTTTCCCTTCATCTTCTTCTAACCCGCGTTCATTCATCTTCTCGGGCGCATTCATTCATTTTCAACATCCTATACTTCCTTCTAATCACAATTCTTATGGCCAATCGACGAAACCCTAGACATCTTCACCTCAATATCATCTTCCAATTACTCGCCCTCCTCTCCCACTCTTCTGCTCTCTTCTCTCCTCCCGACAACCACCTCATCTCATGTGGCTCCCTTACCCCCACCACCCTCGATGACCACCGCATCTTCCTGCCCGATGCCAGTTGTCTCATCTCCGATAATCCAATCTCTATCTCCGCAGATGCTAACCCCCCTCTCCAATCCCACACATACGCTTCTCTTTACAAATCAGCTAGGGTTTTCACGTCTCCTTCCTCTTACGAGTTCCACATCAGCAACAAGGGCACACATATCGTCCGCCTTCATTTCTATCCCTTCTCCACCCACAGCCACGACCTTGCCTCTGCTCATTTCCATGTCGTGGCCTCTGGCTTCGTTTTGCTCAGCAATTTTACCGCTTCTTCCGACTCTCCGATGAAGGAGTTCATCTTGAAAGCAGACGCGGAAAAGCTCGTGATCTTCTTCGTGCCAGTGGATTCGTCCTCATTTGCGTTTGTGAACGCCATCGAAGTCATCTCTGCGCCAGCAGACCTTGTAGAAGATAGGGCAAGATTGGTTCAAGCTGACAAAGTTCTGAGTTTTGATGGGTTATCGAAACTGGCGATGGAAATCCTGTTTCGGATCAATGTTGGGGGTCCGCATATGAAAATTTTGATATCTCCTCTGCAACTGTTCAAGTTTTGGCTTCTCCTTACTATGTGGACTTTGTTGCTGATGTGGGCATTTCAGACTTTTTGTTTGTCAGCATTGGCCCTTCCAGGTTCGTTGGTCATTCGAGGGTTGATGGGTTGCTGAATGGACTGGAAATTATGAAACTTAATAACACCGTTGGAAGCTTGGACGGTGTGCTTCCATTTGCTTTGGTTTTACATAGTTCACGAGGTGGCTTTAGCACAGCTATCCGTTCGCTTATTTGTTGGTCTGCTTTTGTCATGTTGTCGGCTGTTGGGTTTATGTTAATATTGAGAAGGAGGGCTGAGTCAAGAAACCGCATTGCATGGTCTCCTTTGCCGATGGATGTTAAAATTGCAAAAGGAGGCCAATTTGCATGAGGAGAAGTCATCTTCTGCCTAAGGTTTCTCTTAGGGCCTAATAGGTCAGAGTTTGGCTAGTTGATCTGTTGGTTTTGTAAGTTCCTGATAAATATCTACTTTTGTGATCTAGAAGAGTGGACTTTGTGAAAGCTAAATGCTCTTTGTAGGATGGTAAAGTCACGTTTAGCTTAGGGTGTGCCCGCACACCCCACCTAATTTTAGATTTCTGCCACTTGCTATTTCTTTTAAAGCATATATTGATGGAAGCTATTGATTTTGTGTTTTGAATATAACTAGCAGTTTGCTGTTTAGTATTCACTTGTGGATTTAATTGAATTCATTGAGTGGTCAATTTCATACATTTGGATTTATCTGTACGATTGTTGAAGGTTAGCATTTTTGTGCTAATGCTTCCATTTTTAAGTACCCAAAAATTTAATCTTAGCAAACAAACCATTAAACTTAAGATTGCATAAACGCCTTTATTTGTCAACGTGAAAAACATTATCTTTTGTTGGAGTAACATGTACTTGTGCTTTATTCTTTGATATGGCTTAGGATAGGTGTTTTAGACTGCTTCTCTTGAGGGCTTAGGAAGTGTTTGGACGAAAATATTTAGTATAAAGTAGTAAAAGGAATGCAAGAGTTTTGACGCACTTTTATTAATAAATGCAAGGTAAATTGCTAGTGTATTTGAAATACCTTAAATGTGAATTTTCCATGCAAAATAAACTCACTCAAGTTGGACTGTTTTATTTCTGTTAGTTCATGTTCTTTCTTCTGAAAACCAATTCACTGGCACTGAGCAGTGTTTTGCTTCTCACCTTTATTCTGAGATCACCGAGTTCTCTCCTTGCTACACATCTTCTTGGTGTCCTAATCCTCTCCTCAAAGCTCATCGTCATGACTAACTCATGCAATCATGTTTGATCAAATTCGATGACTATAACATAATCTGTAGAAACGTGTTTAATATTATTGAATAACTTTGTGCATGAAGTATATTATAATATTGATTGCTGAGAATTGTGTGATCTGCTGTTAGACCAGGAGATAGGAACCACCATCTACTGCCTTTATCCAGTGCTTGATCGGATTGCTGTTATGTTCACAACCACATTTATTCCTCACATATACTCTATTCTATTTGACAAAATTCGATGACTATAACATAATCTGTACAAACTTGTTTGATATTATTGAATAACTTTGTGCATGAAGTATAATATTATTAAAACTAAAATATAATTTTATTCTCAAACATTATTTTCATAAACATTCAATAAAAAAAAAAAACTTCACATGATTAATTATGAAAAGTACACCACTAGCTTACCATGCAAAATTCATTGGTTATTGCAACTAGCTTTTTGTGCTATTCATATTTGTTTATTTTGAATGAGTTATAATTTCTTAACTTTATGAACTCATGATCTTATATTTGTTTTTGATTCATGAAGCTATTGTTCTCCATTTGGATTTATGTTTTGTGGATGGTGGTTACTACCACTCTTGATATATTTTTTTGATGCTATTTTACTTAATATTCTTTGACATTACTAATTTGTTATTGATTAATGGTCCTAATATTCTTTGACATTACTTCTACCACTCCCCGTGGATCATGGATATTAGAGCCTTATTATTTTTTAGTTTGCAAAGAAAAAACTTTTTGGTTGATACTTATGAAGTTAGAAGCTTTATATTAATATAAAGAGTTAGGGGGTAATCTTCCAATTTTATTTGAGTGATATACCTGAATATGAACGTTGCACACATCCGAACTGGTTAAATATTTTTCCTACTTTTATTTTACAGGCAGCCAAACAATTCTTAGGCAATTTCCATATATTATATTTATTGTACCATGCATTTTTCAAAATACATCATTCAACAACCCCTTAAAGATGTAAATTCGAATTGATTATTTCTTATATGCGAAGTTGTCGTGAATGGTAATTCTTCACCTGATTGTTGGAAATTATTTTACTTTCTTGTATGTTAAAGAATTATTCTGTTTTGCTTAGGTAGGCTATTTTTTCATCTTCTGTACCTGCGATAAAATTTGAAAGGTGCAGACTTGCATAAGATTTGTTGTGTGATTAAGTGGGGCCATCATTGATCCTAAATATTTCATTTTGAGGGAACTAAGAAGTTTAGAAATCTGATAACTTGATTATAAAGGAACTACATCTGATAACTTCTTATATGCTCTTTATGTAAGGATTTTAATAAAATGGATTTTAACAATATACTCTCTATTTTCTTATATTTCTTATATACTCTTGTAAATCCAATGTGTTAAAATCCATTGTGTTAAAATCAATTTTAACACAATGTGATAACTTCTTATAGACTCTTTATGTAATGGATTATAAAGGAACTATGATACAATTATAAACATTTCTCGCCATTTTTAATCTAATTAGATACTTACATGAAATTTAAATTTAAATTCTGGAAAATTGTTAAAATCCATTGTGTTAGTTAAGAATGGCGAGAAATGTTTATACTAAAGGTCATGTAGGCCCGGGTGTGAAAGATATTGGAATCAATAAAAATTAACAAGGATAGAGTTTGATTCGTTTATGAAATAGTTTATGCTTGTTGGGTGGGTGTTTTCCTAACCAGCCCAAGTGGCAGAGAAAAGCAAAGTGGAATGGGAAGAGGAAAGCCAGCTTTGTTTTTGAATCTAATGCAATTGAGTTGCCTTGCCTTGGACGACTTGCTAGAGTGAGAGGTTTGAGTAACGCTAACTTGTTTGAATACTAGAGAGAGAGAGAGAGAGAGAGAGAGAAATGAGTTTGCAAAGGAGAGTTATTTTATATTTTAACTTGAATTTACCTTTCTAATTGGCTTCTATTGCTATAAAGATAGGAACCAGTTCATGTTTATCTACAATACTGAGTAATACCTTGATTTTAATTTTTTTTCTATTCAAAGTTTGGATAGGCACACTTGAGAACAGCTAACTACATTGTGTTCTTAAAAGTTGTCTGCGAATTTAGAATAAGGAGGAAATTTTTTGGAGAAAATAAATGTTAGTTTTGTTTATTATGTCTATCTAGCTTATTGTCTTTTTAATTTTTCATTTTTTGCTCTTTCATATTCAAATTTCAATTGCAATTTGAGGCTCTTGGATCTCGACACCCTCTAAGTTTAGGCCGTTTACTCTTGTAAATGAGCAATTTTCTTCTTCCTTGTTCATTAGTTTTTATTTTTACTTTTTTTTTTTACTCGCAATCATAGGCTACTGGTAGGCTAGGACAGTTCTTGTACATTTATTGTGGATCATCTTGTGTTATTTATCAAGGAGCCTTTGACCCTTGTTGAGATCCTCTAATCTAATGGTTTTTTCAATTTCCCTTGAATGTCGAACAATGGATTCACCAATTTTATATTTTTTTTTTTCTAATTTTATTTTGAATTCCCTAAATGTGGAATAAATATTTTATAGCATACACCTAGTGATAGAACTTCTCTAGCTACTTCACCAACAAAATCTCCGGGAAAACAAATCTAAGAGCACATTGCCCCAATGGCGTTATAAATATTACTCTTTCAAGTCCAATTTAGTAAATAGGATTTTTGATGTTTGATAATGAATCGACCCTCGTTTTTAGCCAAATTCATAGAACATTGTCATTGTCAGTCCTAAGCCCAGATGTGAAAAGTGGAGGATTGTGTTAGGTAGTCGACAACCAGTGTAAAATTTGTGAAAAAAATCATGATCCTTTTGATCATTGTGTAAGCCCTAATTTAAAATAGCGTAATAAGGCTGGATTTCAGTTACTTGTGGTGAAAAAGTTCTTCCCAGCTTTCTCACAAGGATGGTATAAGATCTATCTTTGTCACTCATTTTATTTCAATATCTTCTTCTCTTGTAGTGGTGCTGATCTTTTCTTCTTCTTCCTTTTTTGGCCGATTCTTTTTATGTAATTTTGAATAATCCTTGATCTTATGTTTGGGCTTTTTGTTGTAACAATAGGGTATTTTGTTGTCTAATTGTTTGGCTTAATCCTTTTGTCATATTTCTTTGAACATTATAGGCTTGGATTTCTTTTCAATAAAAAAGTTAATGTTTTTTTTATAATGGTCTAATTGGGATAGTTTTTTTTTCATAAATTTTGTTTATAGATAGCTACCACCCTTTTATTTGGTTACATATTTTTGTTTCTTTTTAGAAATTTCTGTTGTAAGAAGTTGTATCTCCTAGACGGTGGTAGTTTTAAATAAATCGTCATCCAATTTTCTTAGAATGATTAAAGTAAATAATACTCACAATTACTATTTAGAAATGTGTTAGTTCTAAATAAAGACAAATATTTTCATAGAGAGTTACAATCACTCCAGATGAGCCCTCAGTGTAATAGCTTTTGTATTACTTTCATAGACTTTAACATTTGGAAAGAACTTCAATAATATATGTAGAGATTGAGGAATAATTGATTTATATTTTGTTAATATGAATTTTTATATTTAATTAAAGTAGTTTCCTGCCTCAATATTTCATATTGCACGTTTTATTTGTTATCTTGTTTCAAATTCTATCTCCAAAAATAATTATCTTTTTGTGTTTGATTAGGTTAAATTGAATTTTTAACAAAATTTTAGACATTGATCTTGTTAAGGTTGATAGACCATAGCTTTTAGATTTTGTGTTTTATCACATTAAAGAATGTGGATAATTTTAATGAGTAAATGCAATTTTTTTCTATCAGGATTATCATAAATCATAAAATATATTTCTTGAAGCTTGAACTAATTACAGCAATCATTATGGTCATTTGACTTGCCATATATTATGTTTGATTGAAGATACCCTCTTATATTTTTTGTCATCTCTCATAATGATATTTCTCAATCTCCATGCAATCACCAAAAGATTCCCAATCATTTGTTTAACCATAAGAGAGCTTTTGAATTATTTATACTCGATCTTTGATAGACAAATATGATCCAAAATTGGGTATGGAAGGCTCATTGAACCAGGAGTTATTTTGGGACAAGTAATTAGACATTCTATGGAGAAATGAGAGTTGTTGGGCTATTTCTATAACCCATATATAAGGGGAGAGGGAAAATGTGCAACTTATCAATGGTCAATTATAGGTCTCTTTAAAAGACCTTATGTGCATAATATTTATCTTCTTAATTATTGAGTTATTGGTGTAATTTACTACATCTATTCATTCTATTGTATTACATGCTAATTTTTTCATTTCTTATAATTCTCTTTTGCTAATTTTAGGACTTTGTATTATTTTATTATTAAATAAAAGTTT